CAGCCCCGCTCCGGCCCGGCCGCCCTCACCTGGGGGCTCCGTGGGGCAGGGCTGCAGGTCGCAGGCCTGTCTGGCCACCGGCTTCACCAGCGGGTCGCAGCCGCGGACGATGTCCGTGCCCTGGTAGCACTTGACGTCCCGCATCCGCACGCCCACCCCGCAGGTCTTGGTGCACTGGGGGCGAGAGCCAAGCCGGACCGCTGGGCGGCACCCCGCTGCCCGCGGCTGTCTCCCCATCTGCACGGCCAGGGCGCCCTCCGCCCTGGCCTGCCTGAGCAGCGCTGTCCTGGCGAGGGGCGCTGGGGACCCGGCGGCTGGCCCAGGGGGCCGCTGGTTCCCCTCCAGGAAAGGGCTGTTGGGCGCCGAGCGCCGCCCCACGCGCTCCCCGGCCAGATGTTCCCCTGGAAAGCCCCAGCAGGCTGCCCGGCACCAGGGACATCTGCTGACCCCGGTTCCCCCCACCCCGTCCTCCTGCCAAGAGCCTGCAGGCGGAGCCCCCCCCACGCGGGTGACCCTGCATCACCCCGGCATGTCTGGGGCCGAGTCCTCGCTCCCCTGAGGGGTGGGGGAGCCCCAGCCTGGCTCACTGCCCGGCTTGCACAGGAGACCGATGTGCACTCAGCTGGGGGCGGGGAGGGGGCGCCGCGGGGCTGGCTCAATCTGGAGGCCACAGGAGGCCGGCGTGACGCCAGGGACAGGACGAGCCCTAGACAGAGCCGGCTCCTGGCCAGCCCTGGTGCCCGCCTCCGGCCCCGGGGTGAGCTTCCGCGGGGTCCAGCCCCCAGGAGGGGCAGCCAAGGGAGGGGACGGCCTCACCAGGACGATGTGGGCCGGGGCCCCTGTCCCTGTCCCTCAGCCAGGTGGCCCCCGCCACCCACTATCAGCAGGGCAACAGGGATGTCCCCCAAAGGTCCCCCCCATCCTCACAGGTCGCCTCCCTCTGGACCAAGCACCCAGCTCGGCGCCTGCACGAGGTCCCCACCTCACTGTGCTCCGAGGCACTGGGGACCCCAGCCCTGCACAGGCCCCCACAGCCCGCCCCTCCCCGCAGCTGGCCACTCCAGGCTGGGGTGTTTGCTCCCAGCCTGCCCTGGCCTGCAGGCCACTCCAGGACCCCATTCATCCTTGGCCCCTGGCTCCGTCCACACCTCAACCCACTTCAGCCTCCTCTGCTCCCCAGAGGGCTCTACTGTGGGCAAAATGAAGGAGGGGGGGGAGGGAGGGACCAGTGAGTGAGCCGCGAGTGTTCCTGAGTGTCCAGACCCTGTGCTGTGGGGAGTGCCCCCCAGTGGGCCCCCGTCTCTCCACTAGAACTCTGGGCACAAGGGGCTGGGGTCCTGGCCACACTCCAAGTAGGTGGCACCGCAGAGCCCCCGGACAGCCCCGGCTCTCAGACTCAGAGCGAGTCAGGTCTGGGGCCCAGCTGCCCCCCACACCTGGCTGGCTGAGGCCAGGCTGCCAGCCTGCACCGGCCGGGGCAGTGCCACCCCCACCCACCCCAGCCCGTGGGTCCAGGAGCTGGGGCTCCCCGCCTGCCCCGGGCAGTGGCAGTGAAATGAGCCAATGAAAACGCTGTCTGGACTGAGGCCATGGCCTCTAGGCCAAAAGAAAGCCCGGGCCCAGCCCCGGCCTGCGCAGGGGACAGAGGCAAGACGCGGCACAGAGAGGGGTTAGCCAGGCGCGGGTTGCCTGGGCCACTGGTCCCAGCTGCCCACCT